GGGCGGCAGCCTCGCCTCGCCTGCGCCTTCCCCTTCTCCCTCTGGCTGTCACACCCCGGCTTGTCGCAGTGCAGCGTCTCCACCCTCCTAGCGTCTTGTCTCTTAGCAACCAGATCTTGGGAGCCAGATCTTAGGTGACTGACCCTGAGTTCAGGCGAAAAGGGGATATACAGAAGATAAAAAAAACTCTTGAGCCCGGCACGGTGGCTCACACCTGTAATCTCAACTCTTTGGCAGACGGAGGCTAGAGGATTGTCTGAGCTCAGGGGTTCGGAGACCAGCCTGAGCAACGTGGTGAGACTTCGTCTTTATAATAAATTAAAAAATTAGCCGGGCGTGGTGGCGCATCGCTGTGGTTCCACCTACTTGGAAGACTGAGGCGGAAGGATCGCCTGAGCCCGGCAGGTCGAGGCTGCGGTGGCCATGAGCGTGCCACTGCACTCCAGCGTGGGCGACAGAGTGAGACTCCAACTTAAAAAAAAAAAAAAAAAACCTCTTGAATGGGTGAAATGGGGGGGGGGGAGAATGGGTTAAATGGTTCTTGACACAGGTCATTTGGTACATCTGCTTGGGTAGAATGGGAAAATTGTATGATCAAAAAGTGTCTTTTATACCCAAGAACCAAATTGTCTTTACCAGGAAATATCTCTTTAAAAATGTAAATACTCTGGATTACAAATTTGGTTTTACATGAAAGGTTAGTGTGCGTGTGATTGTGGATACTATTACCGGTCATCTAGTAAAATGTATAAGGCTCCATATTGCAGGGTGAAAGCCACATGTCAATATCTCTAATTTCCATTCGGAGTGTGCCTATTCTGAGAACCCAAATTAAACGTCAGGATCACAAAGAACTGAACAAGTAAAGCCTTACAGAGCAGCTGCTTGCCCTCTACTTCACACAGGCTGGTACTCACAGGTGCCTGGTGGTAAGCCATCTTAAACCAGGAGGACAAGAGCAAAACAGAGGGACTGTAGAGCATAATATAGAAGGATCCTGGGCCTCGAATTACTTTCTGAAGTAGAGTATATCTCTGGACTGTTACATGAGAGAAACATGTTTATCTTGCTTTAGCTACGGTATTTTTTGGACTCTTTGTTAACTTGTGTGCTTTAAATGAGAAAGTTGGTTTCTGAAAGTAGTGTGCTACAATACTAAAGATCTAAGACCTTGTTTTGTAGGCTGGTAACTTCCCAAATGTATTGCAGAAGTGTCACCTGTGTTAACTAGGCAGATTATCAAGCCTACATAGCTCTGAGGGAAGTGGTTTTAAAAAGGCCCTGTACTGACTTTGTGTTGGCAACAACTCCTTGATTTTAGCAAGGTTCAACAGAAAGAGCTGAAATCAGTTACAATTCAACTAGTTTGCAAGCAGAGGTTGAGTAGAATTGCACTACTGGATACCGTCTACAACATCTGCTTCTGTTGTTGATTCACATACTACAAAGCATTGCTGAGGGATCGGTTTGGATACTTACTGTCTTGAGTTTTCTCATTGCTTTGTTTTTTAGAACATACATTTACAGAATAACAGAGCGAGAACGGATCCTTGAGAGATCAACTTCTTCAATCTTTTCAATTTAAGGCTCAAACACAGAGAAACTTCAAGTGACTTGTCCAGGGTAAACAGGTTCAATGACCTTTTCCCAAGGAAAAAGCTTCCCCTGGCATTATACAGATATTTATTCTTGAGGCCCTTTATATAGAATGGGCAGTTTCCTTTAGGGCTTCCATCCAACTACCTTTCCTTAACAATTCTAATCCCGTGCATTATGAGCTCATTTATTCCTCTATTAGTGTTAGTGCAACCTAGGTTGCTTTAATAAAGAGACCCAACATACGACAACTTAAATACAATAAAAGTTTATTTCTAGCCGGGCTCGGTGGCTCAGCCTGTAATCCCGCGCCTTTGGGAGGCTGAGGTGAGTGGATTGCCTGAGCCTGCGAGTTC